AGCAGCGCATGTTACTGCGTTCGAGGTTTCCGGCCCATTACCAGCCCGCAACCATCTTACGCTCACAGCTTGTACACACTAAGGACAGGGTTGGCTACCTCGAAAGAGAGGGTGTCGTTTACAATATTCCGTTTGCCAGTTGTGATGGAGTTTGCTGTGGCCAAACTGGGAAATGCGTCTAAATCCGCATACACGAACATCAATAGACGGTCAGAAGAAGAGACCACTTACCCCAGGAGGCCGTGTACACACTCGAAACCGATCACAAATTTGCGTGGATGTCCACACGGATTGTTGACACTTAACCCAACCAGAAAGGGCCGTGAATTCCTGAAGGCAGTGCATTCTGATGACGCATGCATCAACAGGCATGTCAATGTGGACGCGAGCTATATTTATCTGAGGGCAAAAGTGCATCGCGCTTGGCCAACTACGGCAGGCTGACAAAATGTATGCAACGCCTATTGGCGCAGACTTGAGCTTACTGTAGTATACTCTGTTTTACGCGGTTACGACGAAGCGGACTAGCACCACGTTCTAGTCAGACGTCCTTGTGACAAAATGGCATTTATTAGGCCCGGAGGGGAAGTAGCGAAGCAGCAAAAAGGTGTGTGGATAGCAAAGGTCAGAGGGAGAAGAAGCCCAGAACGTCCAGCAGCTCATGCAATTGGCGAACCCGATAGATCCTGCTTGATCAAACGCTGTTTGTAAATCCAATGTTTTCTGTTCCAACAGTCTTTGTCGTTCTGCTGTGAGGAGTCAATCCATTTTGAGTTGTAAGATAAATTAATTGTCGTGATCGGAATAGATACAGTCGCGAGATTCAGTACGTACGAGCCAAACAGTCGTGGAGGGATAATTATCGAGTACGGCCTTATTCATCTTACAATTTGCGATTAAGAACTGAAAAGAGATAAGGAATGGTTAGAGTAGTATAGCCCACAATTACTTCTAGTATTTACTATTTCTTTAGCGTTATTCAATTAAATAACCATGTGAGAGGCCCGCGAACCATGACTCAAGTAATTCACGGTTCACTCCTCTTGCGAGAATTTCGGCCTCATCAAATTTGAATGTGTGGTTTGGTCTCGTCGAATAAGCTGCAACTTGAGAATTGGTATCATTTCGCCGCACTGCTGCCGTGTGTTCGACAGTTCGCGTCCTGAAAAGTCTGCCAGTTTTTCCGACATAATTGCTTTGTCCGCAACTGCACCAGATCCTGTAGACTACTCCACATGTTTCTTGCCCTTGGTAGTGGGTTTTTCGAATTCATTATCTGACGCCTTATGGTTGCCTCCGGCCTGTGTGTGACTCCAACTCCTAGTGGTGCGAGAAGGCGGCCGACAGAGCCTGAGACGTTTTTGGCGTACGGGATCGCTCGCCAAATTTTGGGGTCGATGCGACTTTGTTGGCCATCTGGTTTGCGCAAGCACCGATTGACGAAGTTGCGCGGGTAGCCGTTTTCTTTGAACACCCGTCGAAGGTGTTGTACCTCGGCAACTTTATCTTCTGGTTCGCTGCCATGCGTCAGAACACGCAGATAAAGGGTCCTTACGCAACTGCGTTTGTGGCTGATTGGGTGCTTGTTGTTATAATTCAGTACTTACATCGTGTTTGTCGCTTTGCCAATTACTTAAGTCTTCAGGCCACCACAATCTTTGCGACAGCCGAGGACATCAACGAAGGCCGGCTGGTTTTTCTAATCCCCCTCCATCGTAAATTGTATGTCCGGGAAGACGTTGGTGAGACGTTCCTTGAACATGAGCACCTGATCCCGTTTGCTGACGACGACGGAGGCGTCATGCACATACCGAGCCCAGATTTTCGGTCTGTGGTGTTGTGAGACCAGCAAATCCAGCCGTTGTAGGACCGCCTCGGGTATGAGCCCCGAAATCGGTGTACCCATTAGTGTCCCCTTCACCTGCTTGTAGATTGTTTCGTCAAAGGTGACGTACGTCCTCAGTCAGTACTTCACGAGCTGTAGGATTTGGGCATGTCCAAGGCGATTCTCCGTCTCATCGTATTTGCTTAGTAGGAGTAAGTCGACGGTTTCGACCGCCAGATCCTGAGGGATAGAAGTAAAAAGGGACGTGACATCCTCCTCAAAAGCCAACCTTTCTCACCAGGAACCTGTTTCCTACGGCAGCTCTAACCGGCACCTTGGTGTGTGTGTCTTTGTTTTTGTTTGTTTTTTTTTTTGTGTACTAGTCACTGCACGCACCGCCCGACTTCTTCGGACAACACAACGGGGAGTGATACTCGCGAGTGATGCGAATGGCTTATTTCTCCTCTCTCGGACTTCGCCTAATGTCGCCGTGAGTGCGTGTTTCATTGAATATTTGTTGCTCGAAAATATGTATTTCAGCTCTTCGTATGTGTGCTCTTGTGAATGCTTGGTTGTGAACTGCTTTCCACCTGATGCCCTACTAACAAGGCAGTTGTGGTAGTATGTGCCACTGAGAATTATTGAATCAGTTAGACATTACTGTGTTTCAGTCTATTTTGCGAGAGTATTAGGCGAAGTCTATAAAAATCTTATTATTTACATGGCGGTACGTCATATACATTTTTCTTGTAAATGATTGTCTGGAATTTGTATGATATCAGTTCAAGCTCTAACTGTCAAAGGAACAAGGGGGGGTGGACATACATACTTATCCAGGCGTTCTTTGAAGAGCTGTTGGGACGTCGCATCCACGGCTGATTGCAAGAGGTTATGGCTCGCTGCCTGAAGAATTGAAAGGGTAGATGAACCTGAGAAATTTTCTTGCGTAACTTCATTGTGTGTCACCAAAACGTATTACTTTCTCATGGCCGTGTATGACCCTTAAAACTGTGTACTACCCGTAATACACGGAATACATTTAGGCATTCCAGTCTTCATGTTTAGTAATGGTTCTTTAGACTTCTAACTAGTTCCGTCGCACGTATGCTGCACTTTCTTGAGCCATGTTCTGTGTTTTTTGTGTACCATGGCCGCCACGCTTGAATGCCATACTCTAGGTGAGGTCGAACGAAAGCTACAAACGCTCTTTTGATAGCATGCAGCACTCCCTTGGCATTAGGTGTCCGTGGATTGTCTCTGTGGCGAATTTATAGTCTCGCTGAGGGGCACTAGCTTTCTTTTCAAATTTTACCGGCTGCTGTTCTTCCGTTTTCGCAGAATTTCGGTGAGCTGCTGCCTCACAGAAGGGTACTTGCAGTCCGCCCTCTCCAGTTCCAGTCGCGAGTGGAGGGGCATCGTTGGAGCGTTCCATGCACTGTGCCGGAGCTACGTCTCCTAAAGGTATGTATCACG